GAAGCCCTTCCTTACCTGTGGGAACAACTCCAAGGCATTCACTCTGCTTAGCATTGCCAAGACAAAGGCAGCTGTTTTTCCTGTTCCAGACTGGCTCTGTGCTATGAGGTTCTGGGGACTGTAGGAAAGAGAAGACCACTGGGCATAAACTAAATACAAGAGCCTGGGCATAAATTAAAAAGAAAAGACTAAAAATAACCAACTTGGAATACCACTACCCTGGAATGTGGCACATACTCACGGATGTGCCAGCATCATAGGAAGAGCCATCTCTTGGATTTTGGATGGCCTGTTAAATCCCATTGCATAGATTCCTTTTAGTAATTCTTCCTTTCTGTAAAAGAAAAAAAAAACACTTAAAAAAAGTCTATGCTTGGTCATTAGCCTCAGAGATACATACTTAAAAATATATTTATGAATTAAGCAACTTTGCAACTGAGCTTTAAAATATTTAGAAATATATCATTCATACCTCAATTCCCCAAACACATACAATCACATCTCTACAGCTGGGTTATTAAAATCATATGCTATGCTATAAACCTAAAGTTGAACTTCCTATTTAAAAAAACCAAAAAACAAAAAGGGAATTCATTTGATAAAAAAATACATTAGTTTGCCAGGAGAGTTATATTTTTCACATAAACAGAAAACTAAGTGACACTTGTTATTTCTTTTGCATGAATGACACTGATGTTTTCTACAGCAATTTTCAGAAAAGACAGTTTTATTGAGATAATCCTTTTATCAATTCTCTCAGACTTATTATATATTACCTTATCCTTCTGGGATAGTATTTTATTTTTTCTTCTTTGTGATACTGGGGATAAAATACAGGGCCTTGCACATGCCAGGCAAGTATTCTACCACTAAGCTACATCCCTAGCCCTTTTTATTTTGAAACAAGATTTTGCTAAATTGCCCAGGTGGACCTTGAACTTGTAATCCTTTCCAAGACAGTATTTTTAATGAATCTTTCCTGGTGTCTTAAGAAAAATATTAGAATAAGGATAAAGCAAGTGAGCTGGAACAATTTCACTTTTAGTGATTTKTCTAGTTGGATGTTCCTAATTGGTAGATTAATTGATAGATGACTGTCAAACAATTTTTTAATCATTATGCAGGCTCCCAATATATAGAAAACATCTGGATATTGGGATTTTGGATTTTTTACCTTTTACATGAGTCCATATGTTACCAAACCAAGACTTTGGTAACATATGGACTCAAACATTTGGTTCCCCCAAACCAGGAGCCTTGAAGGCCAAACCAGAAGGAAGGAGAAATGGTAATCTGTCACTTTTACTGAAATTATTCACTGAATAAGATGCCTTCCAGACCCTCAAACCATTTCTCTATTGCAAAAGTAAAATCATGTGCCAAAGGTCAGTAGTGTTTAGAGCAGAAAGTCCCAGGGATGGTCGTTGGAACAAGAAGCTCAGCAGCTGGTAGCCAAAAAGACATGAACAAAAGGTATGTCTGGATTTACCTCCTAGTTGGCTTGCCAAAATGTTATCAAACTATGCCTGTTTTGCCATCCCCATTCATGTGCAATGGGCAAGGGCTTGGTTTGGTAATATGTGACTTTCTCTTTTTGTTAAAATATATTTACTTAAGGCAACTGATAAATCCCTAGGGAATGTAAACCCACTTGGGAAAGTTATTAATTTTAATACCATCTGAAACAAAATATAATTAGAAAAGAAAAATYTTGTAACTTTTTATAAAGCTGGTGAGGAAGGATGTTTGAGTCACCAATGTCCCTGTATTTGGATTTTCATAGGTAGAATGGCAATATGGCTGTGCCTCCCTTTGGGCTGTAAAATTAAAATATTTTACTAAAGAAAATGTTTCAATTTCTTGGGCAACTAGTGTGTCTTGGTGTTCTTCTTTGAGGTACATMTTAGTTGCATGCATAACATACACATCTCATTTTAATACTGAATATTAGAAAACAAGATCCCGATGGTTTTTATTATTAGCAGAATAGTTTATTATGTTCTATGCTTTAGCATTTTTCCATACCAAAAAGTTAAAATACTCACAGTCTCAACTCTTCAAATGTTTTTACTGAGTAGAGTGGAGAGCTGGGATCCTTTTGCAAAACTTCTACTCGATGACTGGATTCTACTAAGGACTGACGGATTAATTTGTTCAAGAGTGAATTAGTTGCCAAGTCCACTAGAAAAGCAAAAATAAAAAAGGGGAGGGCATCAAGCCTCCTGAAAAATATCTAAAAAGTTGCTCTCTCCCATTCAGTGGTTGTATACCAATCAATCAAACCTAACCTACTCTCATCTTTCTTCTACAAGAAGGTTCTGGAAAGAATGACATGGCACTGAGAATTTCTTCCTTCATGAAGATCCAATTTCTTGTGCTCTGTCTAACCTCAAGCAAACCAACATCCATCTCCACCACTCTTACTTGCTAAGTAGAAATTYTTAACCTACTCCTTGAATATCCCAACTTCCTCTAAAGAAATATTCTCCTCCTAATTTAGTATTTCTTCAGACACTCACTATTAATAAAGAAAATAGAAATGAAGACAGCTCCTTCCAATTGTGATATTACTCATTCACATTGTGAAAGTGATAATAAACCAAACAGAATACTAGTAAATACATGCAAACGAATTTATCTCCTACCTATATCATCTTCATCATCATCTTCGATGTTAAGAGAACCATCTAAAAGAACAGAAGAGAAACAATGAATGCAAAGATAAATGCTGAACAGAAATGTAAACAATACTATCCCCATAYTCCCCAAGTCTACAGTATATATGGACAGTGTTATCATAGGGATAGTGGATAAAATCATTGGGAAGCTAGTGTAGGGTCTCAAATATTAAGGGACCCAAAGGTATTTCAGCTGGCAGGGACATGATGAAAGCAATACTTTGTAATCAATCGAGACTAACCTCTTTATCCTAATAGCACTCACCTATGTTTGGGACTGCGGTACTTTTAATACCCCGAAGGTTCTTCCGGGGGTGGATGAGATTTGAAAACTATTGAAAGACACAAATTTCAACCAAAATTAAGCAAATCATCAGGCAGCCCAGTGCTCCCCTACAACAGGGACTGGAGGGGTTCAGGGAAGATCACCCCATAACTATTTCCTTTGCAATGTTATCGACTAATCGGTTCATTTCAGGTATAGATTCCCTGTATGAATTATCCTAAAACTGGAGATTTTCTGTAGTCCCTGCACCATGCAGTTCCATTTTATTAGGCCTCTACTTTACCCGTAGGCAGTACTTGGGAATCACAGCGCCGACAAGATGTTAGTGGCTAAGAAAGTGCGTTGGCAGATACAAGACAGAAATTAGCTTAATAGTCAAATTACAGTAGAAAACTCAAAAGAGTCTAGTTAGGACTCCCAGCTGCTTTCCCTCCCTGGATTTCCAGGTATCTTCACTTTGCCCTTTCAAACCAAAGGTCTTTTCTCCCTGTGGGTCTCCTTTTCTGTGGCCCTCTTCCAAACCCATTCCACATCTTCCCTCCACCATTTGACACCCCACKTCAAAAGCTAGCAGGGCTCTCCTTGTCTAGATTTCCCTCTGGGAATTCCTGCGATAGCCCCCGCCCCTCTGCCCTCCCCTGCTCGGTGGCGGTTACGTGGCTGTTCAGCCGCTCGCTCTCCGCAGCCCCTGCGTCGCCTCCCCAAAGTAACGACGCCATAGCTGCGATCGCTGCTCCCGCCCCCAGCACGTGCTTCCACCCTAGGCTCGAGGCTGGGCCCAGCGCCACTCGGTGGCCAATGGGCTCGCTCAGGGGGCAGGCTCATCCCCGCGACCACCCGCAATGCAGCGCGCAGGCGCCTGGGCTTAGGCGCGGAGGGGGCGGAGGAAGAGCGTGAGGGAAGACGTTAAAGAGCACTGATTGATTCGCGAATTTTGGGGTTTGACTAGCCCCTCATTCGCGCCAGGTGTTAGAAACTGCGGAGGGGACATCACCATAGTCAACGTTCTCGCGGTGCTGACCTTTGTTAAGCGAACCACCAACAGCTTGGGACCCACTACCCAGCAATTTTCCCGGTGGTGAGGCTGTGCCCCACACCCTGCTTCAGGGTTTCATATCTCTGTTTCCCTGAATATCWCCTGCACATCACAAAATGTAAGATAGGCTTAGCGAATCGCATGGGAAAGTAGAGCGACAAAATGGGTCTGACCTGAATGAATGAGCTCGAATGCTGAAGTTGCAGAGTTCAACTCCCTGCTCTAGATAGCTGTAAAGTTCCCCGATACCGACCTAATTTGATTTTTATTCCGAGATGTCGTTTGTTAAAGCAACCCCGAGAAAACGTCTTTCCTTTAGTTAGGTACAACCTTAATTGGCCACAGGTATTTGCATAATCCAGAATAAATCCTTGAACTAGCGACTGCTAAATTGGACAAAAGAACCAGGTCTCCCTCCCACCCCGTGCTCCCCAGTTTCCACTGGAATTTCGAGCATTGGGTCGGCATCTCTGGAATTGGGGGTAAATTCACAAAAACCCACAAACAAAACTGTCTTCATGATCTCTCCGTGGTGCTGAAGTAGCACCCCCAAGCTCTGTTCCGTCAGTGTCAGGGCGTTTGTTTTGAGGTTTATAATATTCCTTTTTAGCCTTTACACTTCGATTGCAATAGTAAATACTTTACTTTCTCACGGATAACTATCTGCTAGTTAAAAAGATACAAAATCGGGCCAAGATTAGCAGTCTCAGTTTTCGTATAAGGAGAGCAGACATTTGAAATTCACCTCTTATTTACTGTTTTAGCGCAGCACTAGAATTCCTCCTTTTATTCTTGTATACAATAGGCTCCGTATGATGTCTTGTCGGGGTGGAAAAACGGTGGCTGCTTTAAAAATCTTCCCCGGAGGTGATTTTGGTGTTGAGCCGCACCCGGGCTCTAGAACTACATTTCCCACACCCGTGGCGGCACCTCCCATGAGGCCTCAGCGCACGTAGGCGGTGAAAAGTGACAGCTTCCGGTCTCGCTGAGGGCGCGCGGCCGACGGCCGGAAGGTGAGCGTGGGCTGTGTGGTGGGTTGCTTTCTGGGTTCTAAAGGGGTAGGAGCAAGGTGGGACGCACAGCTGTAGGGTGTTTTCTCATTTTTGCATTTTCCCATACTCTTCGGGAAGGCGTTGGTGTATAGAAGTGGGACTAGGTTTAAGATCTTTTTTTGTATATCTTGTATTTATGGAGTTCCTGGCAGAAAGTCCCATCCGTAGGGGCTTGAGTTTAGAGGGACCGTGGACTCTTTTTTGCACTAGTGGAATTGTTTGCTCAAAAAGTAAACAGAAGTTGGAAGCCCAGTGGTCTGGGATGGGAGGGAGTCGTGGAAATTTTCACGTTATTTGGGGGTTTGCTTTATACACCACACTTGCTTTTAAGTATTAAGTGATCGTCCTCCATGTCCCCTAATCCTTTGGGCTTTTCTTCGAACTCCCGTTAGATAAAACAACTCCCATTGTTTTATCACGAGGAATGGTGTTTCTGCCATTCCACTTGTTCTTGTTTTCAAGAGTAAGATCCCTTTATGAATTTCTAAAAGGTATTGAACGCCTGATGGTGGCTATTCATGACAAGCGCACCCAAGAATCTCCTTTATGGTAATTTACGCGCCCCTCCCACGTGTTACATCTGCCTGGGAACTACTATATTTCACTCTCAGAAGGGTGTGGTGTACTGGAAAAAGCTCTAGACTTAGTCAAAAATTGAGTCTGGGGCTCAAGAACTTTTTTTTACCATAAATCTGCTTAATGACCACTTGCCTGTCTAGTTACTTTGGAAACTTTTTGATAAAGGTAAATTACTTTCTAGAGAAACACCACCCTATAATTTTTAGTTTTGAAAAACTGTGTTACCTTTAATCCCATTACCCAGAGTTGTTTTAGTTGTTCCCCCACTCACCCCCTGCAGTGCTTTGCTTACGTATGACTAAGATGCTGCTGTAGGTTTGCTTTACTTGTTTGCATTTTTTCCATTACCTTCTGTGACATTCTAATGTCATATTTAAAAAGAAACCTAGTATTGTTGGAGTTTGCAGTTTTTATTTGCAGTAGATATATTCTACCTGTATCTGAGTCACGAAGTGTCTAATAATGGAACTGGGCAAATGTATCATGTAGTCTGAAATATGCAGAATGCGTTTTAGCAGATAGTAGTGGTCAGAGTCATTTTATTATTATTAAATATTTTCTTCCTTTCTGCTGTCACCCTTCAGGCCTCAAGTGCTAAAACTGACAACTTCCACATTTTAGATATTCTTCATTGAATAAGAAATAAGAACTAAGTTCCAATATAAGATGAGCACAATTTTTATTTGATCTGAACTCAAAACAGTCCAGATTCACTTTGATATTTAAATCTGATTCCAGGTGTACTTTGAAGTTCTATTGAGAGTAGAAATAGTCTTCAAATGACAGGCATAATTCCAAAGAAAATTTAAAAATTATAAAAAATATAAAATTTTTATAAAAATTATAAAAAGCATGGTATTCCGGAACAATATCTAATTGAAATAATTCCTAAAAACTTGGGTTAGGATACTGTGTCATAATAACTGTTTTAGGGCATCTATTTAAAAGTACCTGTAATTTACTAGAATTTAATAATGGGGTTATCTATGCCATTACCCGTCTCCCGCCCTTTAGGACTATAAAGGCAAGTTTCTTTTATTTTTTTTTTAGCTTTTATTTTAGATGGTGAGTAAGGTCTAGGGTCTTACTTGGGAATACTTCATAAAATAAGGTTCAAGCTCATGAATTTCCAAAATTCTTTAATAGATAAGCTTAATGCCCACCAACTTTAAAAACACATTAGAACACAGCAATCCACACTGCCTCAAGGTAAAAAGGTTATTGAACAGAAATTGGTGCTTACTAAATTGACAAAATACAAAGAAAAGGTAGGTTTTCTTTCTCTAGCATTGATATTCTCATGCAATTGCTGCCCTTGAGTGGTAAATTGAAAGTTAAGTGATGTTTAATACCTATGTGATATAAAGCTATACCTCCCCACCTGGTTTTTTTACCAATGATGGGTGAAGTTCTTATTCTATATAGTGTTCTGTGGGCTTTTCAAGTCGTTTCTATTTAAAAGGAGATACAAAGAAGCAGGTTATCCTAAACAATCTTGTGGAAGGAGAAACAAGAAAAAAGACTTTAAGAAGGAGAAAGAGGGAAGGGAAGCTTCCTGGGCATGACACCATTTGCAAGGTCACAGCGAACACCCCAACGAAGGGCAGATCTTTTTTTCTCAGTTGGTACTAGGTAATTGTTTGGAACATATACATGCTGAGGCTTGGATTGGGGTTCTGCTTGGGAAAGCATGTGTTCTCGGACACCCCAGCGTAACTCCTTCCTATGATCTTCACCAGGTAACCGCATTAAGTCCCAGTCTCTTTTGTACTCAAAATATCGGGCTACCCGGTCTATCTTGCCCCGGTTTCGGTTTAACTGGTCCAGCCTTGGGAGAATAAAGGATTTGGGTCTGCTGGCAACAATCAGATCTTGTTCATAAGCTGGAGGGCCCATTTCTTCTCTTTGAAGATAACAAATGAGCTGATCTTGTGAAATTCCTTGGTATTCATGTGGTAGATTAACATTTTGTGAAGTATCAACTGAGGATTCTCTGTCTTCCTGGAACTGCAGATTCATCAACCTTTGTCTTAAGTCCCAAAGATCCAGATCAGTTTCTCCACCAGATTCTGATTCACTGATAATTGACTCATCTGTCACTAATACTTCTCCTCCTGGCTTTCTACGAAGCACCTTTCTCTTCATTACTGGCTTTCGGAGTCTTTGGGAAGCCTCTGAGACCGTTTCTGATGTGGCATGACTTTCTATCTGTGAGCACTGCAGTTGTACAGGAAAAGCAGGTCGCTTCCCTGGGGTTACTGAAGCTTTACTGTAGGGATCGTACTGGCTACATTGGACTTCTCTCCTGACATCTCCCTCCCCCTGCCCTGCACAGATATGGGTAAATGCGGTAGCAGCGGCTAACATTCGTTCTTCTGGATCCATATTTGCCCATTTTTGTCCATTTGGTCCTACAAGTTCCTCCATTGCTTCCCCTATACTGTAGGACTGTCTGCAAGAGATAATAACATTGGTCAGTCTTCTGATAAATTCCTAGCTCACAAGCTACTCATACTTCCTTATCTCAATTTTACAGAGTCAAATGGAAAAAGAAAGGCTAAGGTAACTATAAATATAACTATAATAAGTAGAGAATTAAACTGTTTAGAGGGGCATTAATTCAACTCTACAGAATCTATTTTCTGCTTTCATTTCTACTCCTAATTCACTCCTGGCTTTCTACTCCCTTGCCATACTTATGACAAGATAAGTGAGCTCTGACATAAGAAAAAGCTTGAGACTATATTTGGGGCATACTGTTTAGTGCATATCACGTAACATGTCTAGTGGATAAACTGTGTTCCTGGCATTTAACATTTGTTAATTCATGTAATCCTCACAATCACAGGATTAGTTCTTTTATGTAGATGAGTAACATGAGGTAGAGAAATTCAGTAACTTGCCTAAAGTTACACAGCTAATAAGTAGCAGAGCTGGAATTCTAACTCCAGCAGTCTGGCTTCAGACCGAGTCCTTGCTTTGAGCCCTAAAAGTGACCGAATCTAAAAACCATCAAAAAGCAGTACTGTGCTATTACACTTACACACATATATGTATGTAGGCATAATACTCCCTGTGCTTCAGTAATTTTAAAGCATCTTCAGTAGCCAAGGTAAATCTGTTCATTCTAGTACCATGCCACAGATAAAACTTTTAGTATTTAAATCAAATGGCCAAGATCCAACGTAGGTTATCTATTGCCCACTAGTTTTTGTGTCCCACTATTTTTTTTTCAAAATTGAAAAATGGTTTATGATAATTTTAAATAATTTTCCCTTCCTGACCAGGTTTCTCTCTCAAAGACGGTTTTTAATTTGTGTCTTTTTTTTTTTAGTACTAGGGATTGAACTCAGGGGCCCTTAACCATTGAGCCACATCTCCAGTCCTTCTTTGTATTTTATTTAGAGACAAGGTCTCACTAAGTTACTTAGGCCCTCACTAAATTGCTGAGGCTGGTGTTCAACTTGTGATCCTCCTGCCTCAGCCTCCTGAGTCCTGAGACTACAGGCGCCTCACCACCATGCCCAGCTTCAGTTTTAATTTCTCTAGAAATACATATTCACATGTACCTTTTTAATGCTATATAGCAACACAGTTGGAAACTTCTGAAGTTTAAAGGTAATAGCAGTGATCCAGCTATTAACAGCACACGTAGTTTTACTTCTTTGTTTAAAGTTGCATTGAATTCTAATGTATGGACGTTCCATAATTTAGTTGGACCCTTATTGACATGATGTATTTAGGTTCATGGTAACTTGTTTAATGTTACAGGAGGTTCTGGAGTGATGCTGGCCAAATTATATTGTTAACATTGCGTGCAAATATGAATGTGTAACAACAAATCCCATCATTATGTACAACTACAATGCACCAACAATWAATGTGAGAAAAAACTATTGTTACAATGAATATCTTGCAACTTTTAAAATACTATGTAGGTTAAATTTCTAGACATGGAAGAGGTGGGTCAAAAGATAATGTGTCCAATTTTGACAGCTGTTGTCAAAATATTTAGCTCATCTTTTAAAGAAGCTGTATCAATAATATATTAGATCTTTTTTCTCCTACCTCTCTCCAAAGTGGACTAGCAAACTTTCTCATCCTTACAGTCAGTTCTTTTGGTTAAAAGTGACTACATTATTAATGAAGTACTTATATATACTAAAGAAGTTAGACCTTTACCATCATTCCTTTTTTTTTTTTTTTTTTTTTGTAGCTGGACACAATACCTTTTCTTTAATTATTTATATGTGGTGCTGAGGATTGAACCCAGCGCCTTGCATGTACTAGGCATACGCTCTACCACTGAGCCACAACCTCAGCCCCCCATCACATCCATTTTTTTTTTAATTAATTGATTGCCTTGCTGGCAATAATTTTTATTTTTATGTAGTCACATTTTGATTTTCTAGTTTCTTGGTTTTTATAGCATTTTACCTAAAAATGCCTTTTCTTCCTCCAGTATTATAAGAAAAAATTATTCTATGTTGTTACTTCTATTTGTTTCGCTTTTTACATTTAATCTACTCATCAAAGGGCAGAACCTAGCTTAATTACCAGTCAACTTTTAGAATAACCAACCATCAATCAGATTGTATAGGACTGTCCCAATCTCAACCCATTAAATTAAAAATTTTCAAGTCTGACTATTTCAACAAAATTTACACAAATATATTAGAATAGATAGGAAGTAATAATCCGCAGCTTATGTATATTAATATTATAGCTATTGTAATTATATAATTAAGTTATATATTATATATTGTGGTTTTATAGGTGTTCCAATATGGTATGACGGGACAAAATGGATTAAGAATGCAGTATATTTGCCCTCAGATTATTGAAATATATAGAAATTTCAGCACTGACATCTAAATTACATCAGACTGACTCTTGTAACTGTGCCAGAGGTATAGCAATCTTTTATCAGAATATACATTAAATTTGGCTTAATAAAAGGTCAGTAATGGTTAATTACCTTTTTTCTGCCATGAGGAATGCTTAATGAAAGCAATAGAATCTTGTCTCCAGGTTGTCCTTCCAATGTGAAATGTAATTACTGATAATATTTCTTCAATTAGGCTAGCTTATTTTGTGCCACCTTTAAAACAGAATATTATAGCTGATAAAACATACAAATCACTTATTTTATCTGAAGTACTAGAAACCATTAGAAACTCAGAAGTAGTTGTAAATAGCCCAAGTAAAGAAATCATATGATCAGAAAAGTTGGATAATAATGGGAAATCAACAGAAAATGTCATAGAGAAAAACATATCAGAAATGAGTCTTCAGTCATCTGTTAATGAAGAAAAAAGAAGTGAAATCAATATTTCCCCCCAAATTTTAAATAATTAAAAAAAAAACCCTTAATAATAGGTGAATGTATTCTCTTTTCCCCTGTCAGTTGGCCAGATACGATGTAAAAGAATAATATCCATGAATAATCAGCCCATAGTAATTAAACCAGTGCTTATATCTCTGGGCAAGCAAAGCCTATATATACTTTTTGGGCATCAGATTAAATCTTAGTTGCTGTTCCACCATAAGGATTGACATCACCAAAGGAACTAGTGCTGACATTGTTTTATCCCTTTGCTCTCTTTTCAGTACTATTTGTTTATTCCTGGGGTCGTCATATCATGGCTGAAAATGACACAGATAGAAACCAGATTGAGAAACTCCTACAAAGAGTACAAGAATTGGAGCAGGAGGTGCAAAGACTTAAGAAAGAACAGGACAACATTAAAGACTCAACTATTAAAGAAGATTCTTCAGGATCTGGAAAAGCTAAGCGTGCATTTGACTTCAGTGCTCATGGCAAAAGACATGTGGCCCTAAGAATAGCTTATTTGGGCTGGGGATACCAGGGCTTTGCTAGTCAGGAAAACACAAACAATACCATTGAAGAGAAATTATTTGAGGCTTTAACCAAGACTCGACTAGTAGAAAGCAGACAGACTTCCAACTATCACCGGTGTGGGCGAACAGACAAAGGAGTTAGTGCCTTTGGACAGGTAAGGGCCAGTATACTATTTCTCAAAGCAACTAATACCAAGGTATCTAGGAGTACATGGAGTATTGAGATTATCTGTATCTCTAAAACACAGTATATTTTTTTAATTCCACAGGTGATTTCTCTTGACCTACGTTCTCGGTTTCTAAGGGCCAGTGATTCAGAGGACCTTAATTTAAAAGATGAAGCCAATGATGCTGCGAAAGAGATCCATTACACCCACATTCTCAATCGGGTGCTTCCTCCAGACATCCGTGTACTGGCCTGGGCCCCTGTGGAACCTAGTTTCAGTGCCAGGTTTAGCTGTCTTGAGCGGACTTACCGCTATTTTTTCCCTCGTGCTGATTTAGATATTTTAACAATGAATTTCGCAGCTCAGAAGTATGTTGGCACCCATGATTTCAGGAATTTGTGTAAAATGGATGTAGCCAATGGAGTTATTAATTTTCAGAGGACGATTCTGTCTGCTCAAGTACAGCTAGTAAGCCAAAGTATGGGTGAGGAGAGATGGCAAGAACCTTTCCAGTTATGTCAATTTGAAGTGATTGGCCAGGCATTCCTTTATCATCAAGTCCGCTGTATGATGGCTATCCTTTTTCTGATTGGCCAAGGATTGGAGAAGCCAGAGATTATTGATGAATTGCTGAACATAGAGAGAAATCCCCAGAAACCTCAATATAGGTAAGTTAAACCAAACCAAATTAGCATGTCCTCCCCCGCYCCTCCAAGATTGTCTAAATAACCAAGTTACTGATTTTGATTTCAGGAAGCTCTTAATCTAATTTGTAGAATGTTGTGAACATGTGGGAATATATTCTAATTTTCTCATTGTTTTATTCTATTAATAAGGAAACAGGTATTTGGACCAGGCCCCTTAACTCCTGAATATTCATTCCCACATCTTTTTTGCTTTTGAATTTGTTAATAGGCACTACTATTAGTTACTAGAGAAATTAAAGCACGAATATTCAAACTGTTTACATTATATCTGGATTATTTTGTATTACTAAATAGTCATGGTACTGTACTTTTGAGAACAGGTTGAGGTCAGATACTAGTAATTCATTCCCAGGCTATAGAATGTCAAATTAACAAATTTGGATAGTATTGTGAGCTGTTTTGGATTTTACTGCAGTGTCAACTCACCTCATTACTGACATTTACCAAATATAGACCAAATTGATCCATGGTTTGTTGCTTTTTTTTTTCTTTTTAAAATTTATAATAAAATTTTCAGGATAAGATAATATTGTATTTTCTTAGCTACTAGATCCTCAATATTGATACCTGTAGTCTTCCCTTACTTTTTAGCTAAAGCAAACCTCAGTTTTTAAAAAAAGAACCATTTTTAAAAAGTGGCTGCTATGGATTCTCACACTGTTTCTTCTCTTTTTCTCTAGTATGGCTGTAGAATTTCCTCTAGTCTTATACGACTGTAAGTTTGAAAATATCACGTGGATCTATGATCAGGAGGTTCAGGAGTACAATGTTACTCACCTGCAACAACTGTGGGCTAATCATGCTGTGAAAACTCAGATATTATATAGTATGCTACAAGGACTGGACTCTGTTGTATTACCCTATGGGATGGGACCAAAGATGGATGGAGCAATAGAGTGGAGAAACATTAAGCCCTCTATCATAAAGCAGACCAGTGCCTTTGTAGAAGGAGTGAAAATGCGCACATATAGACCCCTCATGGACCGTCCTAAATGCCAAGGTTTGGAATCCCGGATCCAGCATTTTGTACGCAGAGGACGCATTGAACACCCACATTTATTCCATAAAGAAACAAAAGCCAAAAGGGACTGTAATGACACACTAGAGGAAGAGACTACTGTTTTAGAGAAACCAACCAAAAGGGTCTGTGTAGATGCAGAAATTAAAAGCATCATTTAATCATAGATAACTTGCTAGGACCTAGGAAGCGACAACCAGCTAGTGGTAGGCAGTAGAAATGAAATTTAAAGGAAAAAAAAAAAATTCAAGAAGTCTTAGTAGTTCTGATTATCAGCTTTTTTAGGGGTAGGGGGCGAAAAAAAGAAAGGAAGTTCTGGCTTAAACAGGAAAAAGTTCAGAGGCTATCATCCCTGTCCAAAAGGATTAAGAGATGAAAGAAGCAAAACTCATTTGTAGCTAGGCATGGTGGCACATACTTGTACACCCAGGAGGAGGCTGAGGCAGAAGGACTGCAAGTTTGAGGCCAGCTTTGGCAATTTGGCAACAACTTGTATGAAAAATTTTTAAAAATTATAAAGGATTGGGGACATAGTTCAGTGGTAAAGCATCCCAGAGTTCAATTCTCAGTACTAGAAGGGGTAGAGGAAAGAACTGTAATTTATGTACACCTGGAAACCTGTGCCTTATGTACAAATTCATTAAAACCTGATCCTGTGTTTAGTTCATTTTGCTGCTCTTTTTCAAGATAAATGAGATTTTTACTAATCTGAATATTCATAGCTTTATTTTATATTTTTAAAATTTTTATTTTTTTTTAGTTGTAGTTGGACACAATATCTTTATTTATTTTTATTTTTTTTATGTGGTGCTGAGTAGTGAACCCAGGGCCTTGCACGTGCTAGGCAAGCGCTCTACTGCTGAGCCACAATCCCAGCCCAACAGCTTTATTTTTTAAGACATTAAAAAATATCAAATTTAGTCAGTTAAGAATTAGATAAATTGGTTTACTTAAATATGGCACAAGACCTTTTTCTAGGAGGCATATAAATCTAGTGTAGAAGTTGCCAAACTTTTTTGGGGGAGGATGGCAGAGTAAATACTACTTTAGGCTCTATGAGACACAAATGGTCTGTTCTATATTCTTTTCAACAAGTCTTAAGAGTAAAAAACACTTGCTCTATTAGTCTTTATTATTTTAATTAGTGCATTATATATATAAATAGGATTCATTGTGGTATATTCTTACATAAACATAGCATAATTTGGTAGATTTAATTCCCCAGTACTTCCCAAATCCCTCCAGGGGGAGGGGGGGAGGGAAAGGAAAGGTAATGAGATTGGTTACATTATGTAATGTGCATGTACTAATATGGCATAATGAATCTCACTATTATGTATAAATCTTATGTACCAAAAAAATTAAATAAATAAATTTAAAGAGAAGACACTCAAGCTAAATTTTGCAGAACATGTGGGAATCAGTTAAAGTTAGGATAAAGAACCAGAGCTTTAACTGTCTTAACTCAGAAGATGCAATCTGTATAAAGGTTAGAGATTATAGCATATATATTCAGGAAACTGTACCTCAGTATGGCAAAAACATGGTTTAGAAAGGCAGGCATTGGTCATATCTGTAGACCTTTGTAGGCCTTCCTTAAAAATCTTAGATTGGGGAAAAAAAAATAAAGCTAGACAGATCTATGTAGCAAAAGCACTGCTCTAGGTATACTGTGAATTGAAAAAAGGCAAGACTGAGGCTAGAGAGACCAGTGAGGCTACTGGAATAATTGAGGCAATAGATGACAGAATAGATCTGTATTAGGAGTATAAGGGATGGAAAGAAGATAAATTTGAGGTTAAAAAGGCAGCAGTAGGACTCTGAGTGAATGTAGTGTTAAAAAGTAGGAAGGCTTTTAGGATAGTGTTGTAGGTTCAGATCTGAMCAAAAGAGTAGCTGGTATTACTACATACTGAGATAAGAAAATGAAGTGGGGCTTTGTTCTCAAAACATAGTTGTTAAGTGACCCTTAAAATATTATAACTGCTGGTTAATATATGAAACACATGGGGCCATTAGAAATAATACTGATATGTACATAGAACTGACTTCATTAGTACTATAGAAGCTCAATAGGAGGTGTATTACAGAAATAAGACTACTGAAAAAGTTCTGGGGTTAAGAAATAAAATAGCCTAAGAAAAGTGAGATGATCCTGTGGAACTATCAAGTTAGGAGGTACATTGTGATGGACTTGCATCCTAGCAGAGAAGGAACCAGAATGTATTTACATTTTAAAATGGCAAGATAGTGATACAGAATAAATTTATTTAAAATAGCCAACTGTATGATCTATGTCTTCTGGATATTGAATCTCTGTCAATTTGGGGGATCTGATGAACCAACACTTCACAATGATCTGAATGTTCCTAAAATATTATTCCTTTGGCATTTAATTTTGATGCAAAGATCTTGTTTTTAGTGTAATCACTGAGCATGGTAGACTACCCTTACTTAAACATGTAAAAACAAATCAATTACTTTTTTCAGTTTCTTACCTTATTTCAAATGTATCTTGATTGGCATTATTATTCACGTTAACAACAACAACAAAAACCTAGAAAAGGAAAAGAGAGTTTAAATCATTCCTCATCTTAAAAAAAAAAAAAGACTCTAAAACCATGATATGTAATGACAAAAAGCACTAGCTAAAAGTTATATGCTAGGAGATTATATAGAAGCAAAGAGAGAATCAGGATCAGATTTTAAGTAAAATCGTTTCAAGATTGACCAGATTATATTATCAAATATGGAAATGTAATTATTTACTAACCTCATTTTAGATAGTTACCACAGGAAAAAGTCAGGACAGTCATAACAGATGGAGCAAATGAAAGGCCCCCAAATGTACCTTTGCCAAATTACTTGTTATTGGAGGCAGTGTTTGTACAAAATCAAATCTGATCCATAGAAAGGACTCACTGCGTGTTAGAAGAAAGCAAACTATGAATTAGATTTACTTTATCTGTTTTTAGAATGGAAAGAATTATATCAAAAGTTCTTGAGTTTAAATGAGATAATCCTTAGTGATTTGTGGGACCCTGGACTGGGAGGATTTCTGATACTAAAGCCAGGAGATTTTTTAAAAGATGGCATATGTAACTGTATTATGTGTTTTCTTTGTGTTTAAATTACATCACATTCATTTGTCATCGAACATGTGAAGATAGATGTTTGCAAACACTGAGATGCTAACTTTAATAAAGTCCACAGGTCATCAATTTTTTCTAATATTAAGATACAGCAATCTTTTCTATTAGAGGGGAAACTTGCTAGAGCAACTTATATTTTGTAGATAAATAGGATAGTTTTGACCAAAATATCTAACAATATAATTTTTTCAAAAATCTCAAGTGACTCACTGTCCCAGGTTTAGCTAGTTAAAATTGAAAGGATTTTACAGGAGGAAGGATTTTAAATGCAGATAGGGGAGCTGAGTCCATAGATTCTAAGCATTATAAGGAGTMTACTGCAGAGTTGTAACAAAATTCCTCTACCACAGGGGAGGTAAGCAGACAACTTAAAGAATGAAAGTATTAAAACACCCTATCTTAAAGCAAATACCACCATAAGAAGGTCAAAGAGACAACAAACTGAGGAAAGTACTTGTAATATGTTTAAAATCAATAATTAAAATTATTAAAAAGTACACATCAGTAAAATAATAGGGAAAAGATATTTGCCAAAAATATTATGACTAAAACACAATGTTTAACCTCATTAATAATGCAAATTAAGATATCTTTTTAGACTGATAAGTTCCCCCCCCAATATTCAGTGCTGACGAGTGTGAAGAAATAATCACTTCAAAATTAATTTGCTGGACTGGGGTTGTAGTTTATCGGTAGAGCGCTGGCCTAGCACATGTGAAGCCCTAGGTTTGATCCTCACACCACATAAAAAATAAATAAAATAAAGGTGTTGTGTCCAACTACAACTAAAAAAAAATACTTAAAAAAACCCTAATCTGCTTTCAGCAATTTATTCTAAGTTAACACTGGATAAAAATGCAAACCTGTATATGTACAAGCGACCAGTAACACACTATTTTATGATCATGAAGAAATTGGAAACAAACATCATTAGGGGGCTGGCTAAATATATGGTACAATACAGCTGTACCATTCATTCATTAAAAATGGTAATGCACATCTACAATGGCATAGAAACATGTTCTGAATACGGCATTGACTAAATAAGACATAATCTACAAATGGAAGACATGATTTACAGTAGAAGGGGTAGAGAGAGAAAAGGGGAGGGGAGGGGAGGGGAGGGGGGATAGTAGACAATAGGACGGACAGCAGAATACATCAGACACTAGAAAGGCAATATGTCAATCAATGGAAGGGTAACTGATGTGATACAGCAATTTGTATACGGGGTAAAAGCGGGAGTTCATAATCCACTTGAATCAAACCATGTAATATGATGTATNGTGATACAGCAATTTGTATACGGGGTAAAAGCGGGAGTTCATAATCCACTTGAATCAAACCATGTAATATGATGTATTAAGAACTATGTAATGTTATGAACGACCAATAAAAAAAAAAAAGACATAATCTATGTATTCATGGTAACCAAAGCAATGACATTTCAATAAGGATAATCATGTAAACATAATGAAATAGTGTTTTTTATTTGATGATTTTTTGTGACTGGTGGACTTATTTTCTTTCTCATCTATGTGTACTTAATATTGCTTATTTATTTCTAAAAACATGTGCATATACAAGTCTACATTTCTGTCTGATGTATCTCCTTAGAATAAATTCCTGGAAGTGGACTATGTCTTAGAAATTATGGTACAACGTAAATCCTAAATCAAGATGATAAAACTGCCCTCTAGTAAAATCAATTACCCCTAACGTAGGGAGTATGGCGGGGGTGAGGTGGGGTGGGGCTTATTTTTTCACTCTTACAGCGCCGTATATTGAAAAATCTTACCAATTGAAAAGGATACCTAGTTTCTTTAAAATTTGCATTATTAATTGTATGTAACTTTACAGTAAGAAAGGGTTTATTTTCATTTTGGGATAAGACTACCTCCTAACTCATTAGGCAAACACCTTTCTGATATGGTCAGTTCCAGAAGTCCACAAAAAAGTGTAACTCGACGGTAAGAAGATCTGTCTGCTCTTTATTTTTAAAATCGTTTTTATTTTTTTCTGTCTGCTCTTTAGAACAACAAAGACAACAGTCGAAACCAGCTGGCCGGGAGGGGCTCCAGGAGCTCGGTTCCTTCCCAGGAGAAAGGAACCACCTCCCCCAGGGCTCGGTGCACTAGCTCACAGGCGACCGACAGAAGGGCGGGCAGCGTCGCACGATCAGCAGGCACACTTTGTGACCTGGAGGGCCTGCAGTCGCCCTGTGCACTGAACAGTACGGCTTACAGCGCCTTAGTAAACACACAATTAGGATTCGTTAAGAACGCCAGGCTATGGGACGGCGCTCCAGGAAAAGGGGA